GGTGTATATATATATAAAGTTTTCCAGATAAAATATATTTGACATTGTTATTGGGGACACACACTCAATTCATAAAAATGGTGTATATATATATAAAGTTTTCCAGATAAAATATATTTGACATTGTTATTGGGGACACACACTCAATTCATAAAAATGGTGTATATATATATANGGTGTATATATATATAAAGTTTTCCAGATAAAATATATTTGACATTGTTATTGGGGACACACACTCAATTCATAAAAATGGTGTATATATATATATATATAATATAGTTTATTCATCAAAAACAAATATGACAGTAAATTTATACAGTATTATCTTTAAGTAATGTTTGAGTCTGAATTCAGCTTTTATAATAAATAAAATATTTATAAACTTGATACATTGATGTTGGTTGAATTTTTTAATTTTATAATCATAATGGAATATAAATTGATAATAATGCCAAATGAGAGCTTAAAGGTCCCTTAAACCATACCCATTGGTTAAAATCCCATGACATAATTCCCCCCCAAATAAGTTGCCATAAAAGGAATGCATGAGTGGGATTGTACAATTAAAGGGAACAATTAAGATGGGTGTCCCAAACCACACCATATGAGAATCATTTTAATTTAATATTAATTTTATTTTCCATGAATTACATATTTGGTCCTTGTGATTTTGCTGAGAATCATGAAATCGGTTTCTGAATTTGATTTATCGTAGAAGAACCCTTAACGTTTACGTTTTGTTTTTTGATTCTAACGCCCATCCAAACCTCTGTTAAGTGAGAGGGAAAAACGATCATTTCGCCCCATTATTTGTTTTAACATTTTCTTTTCTAAAATATTTATTATTTCTATAATATTTATCTTTCTCACACACACACACACACACACACATTTTGAGATCTCTCCTCTCCAGCTTTGCACTCTGATGGGCCATCCCTTCCCTCTTTTACACCCTCGTGAACAACCACGCCTGAGCAATGGTTGGAGTCATAGGGAATCACAAGATCTCTGTAGAGTCGCAACGTCGTCCTTGATTTCTCCCTGTCATGGCATCCAATCGCCCCTGATTTTCTTCATTTCCTTGATTTTTCTGTTGTCATTGAATCAAACACCACCAGTTTTGTATCTCAAACACTCAAAGTCTTATCGGTTTGTTGCATCAAAAACCCTCATCGTTGTACCTCAGAACTTCTATATCTGAAGCTTCAAGAAGACAAATCGAGAGCAAAGTTTTATTTAGGGATTTCATTTACAAACTTTTTTTGTTTACGATCTCATATATGTATTTAATACACTGTTTGATTTAGATTTTATGCTAAGGTTTGATTTGGGGTTTAATTAGGGTTTGTATCATAAACTTTTTGTAAGTAGTTGTAATAAATATCGTTGATAATTTTTTTTTGACTTTACACCTGCTTTGTTCTTGATGTTTTTAACATATTAAAATTTATATTTTTCAATCAGAGGTTTTTATGTGTTCAAGTTCTTGATGGTTGGAGGTCAAAACAGATGAAGACCGATTTCAATATATTTTGTATCTTAACACTTTTGTTTATTTATTAGTCATGTGAAATTACTTATTTACCCATTATTTAGATTTTCAAGATTCTTGTATTTCTCTTTATCTAAGAGTAGGTATTAAACAAATTTGTGTTTTCCCCGTGCTAAATAAATCCTTAGTCGACTAATATCAATAAATCATGACTAATATGACTGAAATCGTTACGAAAAAAATATTAATACGACTAATTAATAATTAAGTATTACTAATAAATTATATATAAGTTAAATATTATATTAATAGATGAAGTACAATATTCTCAAAACATTACAATTATTGTTCGAAACAAAAGGTAACACTCCTAATCGGACAAGTTGACTTTGTATTCAATAAAAAAAGTTGTACGAATTAAACCAAAGAACATAATTTTAAGATTTTTTTTTTTAAATCAATTCCTAAACAACCGTGATTTAATATAGTGGTATTTAGAACAATTAAAGGGAATAATAATAATTAGAAAAAGAGTAAATTACGAATTTCGTCCTTAAAACCATACAGTGCGTCTCTAAATCAAAATAATTATGGAAAACGTTCTTGTGGTTTACATGTTCACCCTTTTTTGGTCCCTAAAACCATCTCCAGCCGTATTCATCTCATTTCTATGTGTTAAGATTCATTTAAAATCTCCAAAATCCACCAAATTCATCTAAGACATATCAAATATCATTTAAAATTTACGTTACTAAAAAACCCAATAAAAACACAAAGCAATCTTGTTTTAAATCAAGAACATTTAAAATCTATGAACTTGTGAACAAAAACCTTAAACAAGCCCTAATTTATACAATAATTTATGAACAAAAACCTTAAAGAAAGCCTAATCGAAACAAGAATTACGGAACAAAAGCATAATAAAAACCCTAATCTATTCAAACATTTGTGAACAATTAAAAAACTAAAATCAAAATAATAATATTATATATACAAATAAAGATTATGAGTAAAATGACCAAAACACTCTTTCAATTAATCTTTTTAATAGTGTTAGAGTTTAGGGACCAAAACGTATAAAATGTAAATCATAATAACGTTTCTTTTCCATTTTGATTCAAAGACGTATGATGCATTTTTTATTTTTTT